AAAAAAAAAAAAAAAGAAAGAAAGAAAGAAAGAAAGCCACTCATTCAGAAGGAAAGCTCAAAGATGTTTGTACAACTTTGTATACCATGCATTTTAAGGAATGCCTAGAAACTATAAAGCCTTGATACCAGTTCTGGACAAAACGATGCTTTTTTGAGGAAAATACACAGCGATAAACATAGGATTTTCGGCTGAAGCGAAGCGGCGAAGGCCACCCTGGAGAATGGTGGCTTCCCCAAGACCCCAGGGAGCTAAGTGTTGATGCTGTGTTACTTCTGTGATCTTGGATGTCCTTGTTCATACAGAATTTACCAGGACACTTGGTAGAGCAGCAGGATCATAAAATGACCTAAGTGAGTAAGTAGAGGTTATCTCTAAAATCAATTCTTCAAACCTAAAATTATGTGGGACAATGGCAGGGCCACTGCAAGCTTTAGAGAACCTTCCAGATGACAGCTGTAAAGGGGACTTCTCTCCTGTGAGTGGTGGATTCTGATTTGTGTGGACAAGTCCTGTTGAACCCAGAGTGGAAACCAGCAGGCATGTCCCCCTCTGACGGACCATCACTGGCAACCCCTTCCCAAGGAAATGGTCTACACCACAGCTCTCTGAACTGGGACAGCCGGGGGCTGGACCGCAGCACTGGGAGTAAGAGATCAACGCCTGCCTCAGACATCTGCAAGAACGTCTGTCGAGATACAAGTAAATTTAGTCGTGTTTCAACATGGGGTCTGAGCTGCGGGCGCTCAGACTCGGTACAGTAACACCCAAGTCACGTGGGCCGCAATTTCATACAGCCACATGCTGACTTTTAAGCCCTTCTGAAAATTTGAACCAGTGATTTTCAACTGTGGTAGATTTCTATTTAACATACGTATCTATGGAGTATAAAATGTTTTCATCACATCTAGTATGAATGTTCTAAAATTCAAAATATTCTCTTCTGAAATCCAGTGGGAAAGCAGAGGGATCCAGAGAGAGAGAGCTGCAGTGATAAACCATCATCCCATGCTGATGAGAGCCACTAACATTGTTCAGTGAACACAGAATGGAATGGACGCTTTTTTCTTGACTCTCGCATCTTACTCTCCAAGTCCCAGGACACCTGGGCTGGTGAAGACAATAAAGAAGGAGGTCTAGCAGAGCGTCCCAGAGCTCATGGAATCCAGCAGAAACAGACCACCAAAGTGAAATGTCAGCAGGGTCAAGGGCTCTAAGAATAGGTACATAGCTACCTCTAACTCAGAGGCCATCATTCTCATTCAGTGATTCACTGGGGACCACCTATGATTAAGCCACCAGGGTACGTACGTGGGCACGTTCTCAAAGAGTGGGGGACACTTACCAGAAGAGCTTCTTATGCCCAGGTGAGTCATAGCAGCTGGCAGGTTGCCCACACTATTCCCCACACTCATACTACCAAAGACATGGTCACTGGTGTCCAGTGAGGTTGGCACGGGTGCAGAGTAGTGGAGGTTGGTTAGATCTGGCAATGACCCCCCGGTGTTCAGGGTCCCCAGAAAGGGTGAGAGGCCTATGTTTTGACCATTGTGGGGAAAACCACTGAAAAAAAAGAGAGAGAAGTGTTACTTTCTAAAGTGCATTTGGTTGCTGGGGAATAGAACAGACTTGTCAAAGAAAGGCCGTGGGTATCAAACATCCAAGTCCTTATGTAGGCTTGGACTCTCCCTCGTTCTGAGACCTTGCCTCCTTGGCTTACCCCCTCTGAAGGGCAACTGCCTTACCTGTTAAATCAGACTAAGGACGTCAGCTGTGCCTACTTTGCAGAAGTATCTTCCAAGACCAGATCAGACTATGGGTGTAAAGTTCTCTGAAAATTATAAAGCCCTACATAAAATGTGAGGCACTGCTTTATATTTGTATGCTTCTTTTTGCTAGATTTTAAAAGTATCTTTCCCACACACACACAAAAAAGTCTCTCTGCATCAAGCAGATACTTCCAAGATATATCTGGTTACAGTTTTCATCAATTTTAAAGTGAGAAAGCGATGTTAGCATTCACTTATCCGCTGTGTGCCAGGCACTGGGCTGAGTGCTGGCGGTACAAAGACCAAGGAGCCAGGCATGTGGGTTCACAGTCAGGCCCACCCCTGACATCTGCAGGCCTGGAGGAAGAGTGTGCATGGAGGCCCACATACCATCTGTTTAAACTTCTAAAAGTCATGAATCAAATGAACAAACCCTTAAATGAACTATGTTCTATGTTTCTGTCCCGACAAATTATACCTCCCTAAGAGCGTGGAAGGCCAGACTGAAATTAAGAACCCTCCGGCTCCTGGACGTTCTGCACGGGGACGTAGGGGAGGTGGCCATGGTCCTCAGCCCGCCCACCATCTCTGCCCACCTCGGCCTGCTCCTCACCACAGGGCCCCCGTGCAGCTATCCCAGCCAATAGGCCAAGCAAGCCCTGGCCACAGTCCACATCCCCCCGGCCCGGGGCCCCTCAGGCAGATGGTGTGGTCCCCAGTGGCCCCTTGGACTCCAGACTCCACGGGAGCAGGGTCTCTAAAGTGTGGGGCTCTGGGAGGAGCCGCCTAGCCCAGGTCTTAGGGCACTGCTCTTGGAGTTCATGGGCAAGTAGGAGAGACAGAGAGGTGGTAAAGCAAGCACTTGCAATGTGGAAGGAAGCATGCGGGGCCAGGGCCGATGGGGGCGGGATGACCATTAGGGGGGACAAGAGATGCGGGAGTTGTCAGTGTCAGGCTGGGCTGGGAAAGTAACAGTTTGCCAAGCACCCGACAGGGTGCTCATGCTTCAGGGAAGCAGCCGGGCGTGGCCAGGGTGTCAGGGCAGAGCCAGGAAGGGGTGGGGAGCAGGAGACGAGATAGAAGGGGCGTGAAGTGAGCAAGGGTAAGATGATGCGCTGTTCTGAGAGTCCGGATCAGGGACCGGGGGAGGTAGGGAGCCCAGTGTAAGCTGGAGAATGACCCTTCAGAAATGCCACTGTGGACCCGGCGTGGAGGACAGCGTAACGGAGCAGAGAGTGAGGCAGCGATGGGCCAGGCCTGACCCAGGGAGAGAGCAGTGAGGGGAGGGTCACGGATTCCGCCGAGGATGCTGCCGTCCACACAGCGCCTCCCAGGGACCAGCTGCGGGCATCAGGGCCTCAAGAGACTCGGACAAGGCAGGGAGGCAGCCCCATGGCACAAGTCTGTAATGGAAGGACAGGGCCTGGCGGCGTGAGGTGTGCAGGAGCTAACCAGCAGGCTGGGAGGCTCCCTGGGCTGAGTTCGAAGACCCAGAGGGTCTAGGTGGGAAAACCACTTCAGGCAGAGTTCACGGCACGGGCAAAGCAGGGAAGTGTGGAACCACACAGCATGCTCGAGGAATTTCGATACGGCAGGAAATACGGCAGGAAATACGGCAGGAAGGTCAAGTTCAGGAGAGGCGGTGGTGAGGGGGCCGGCCCTGGGCAGGTAGGCAGAGAGCACACGAGGCTCAGACTGACAAGGAGCCGGTGGAAGGTTGGAAGCAGGAAAGGACGTAATGCTTCTGAGGACAACGTGGCTAACAGATGGGGGAGGTAGGACAGGCCCGGGGAGCAGAGCCTGGGGGCACAGAGGTGAGTGGGGGCTTTTGCTGCTCAGGAGTCCGAGGACACACAGGAGAGCACGGGGATAGAGTCGGGAGACACTGAAGGCACTACTGGAGAGGGACTCCTGATTTTCCAGCATGGGGACACTGGCCCAGGGACACTGAGGTGTGTAAGCAGACTGGGGATGCGGGGGGGTGCTATGGGGATGATAACGAATTCTGTCTTAGACGCTGAGTTTCCACAGGACGAGAGGACGCGTAATAGGGATGTCTCTTGAGGACAGTTCCCTTGGAACAGTGTGGGTGGAGGCCAGGCCACAGCGGGTGGCGGAGTGGGCAAGCAGTAAGGGAAGACGACTCAAGAGCAAACACTCTTTCGAAAGTGTGGCTAAGAAATTCTGGAAACGAGCAGGAAGGAAGGAATTAAAAGGGAATGCAGGGCTAAGGAAGGACTTTTTCTGTGCAGACGCCTCAATAAGTACATTTAAACGCCGAGAGAAAACCTAGTAGAGCAGGCAAGGCGGAATACCCGGGGGCGGGGGGGGGTGCGGCGTGGAAGGAGGGAGAGGCCTCAGAAAGGCCCGTGCGGACAAGGGCCAGGGAGCGAGTCGGGCGGTCAGCCTTGGCCAGGAGGATACCTGTGTCTCCGAGACTAGGAAGACAGACTGGCGAGGGGAATCCGGAGCAGGAGGGAAGCTGAGCCTGCCTCCCTGGTGGCCCCCCTTTTCCTGGTACAGGTAGGGGGGCCGGCAGAACTGTGCAGGCTCGGGGGGACATGGCGAAGGAGGGAAGGGGTCCAATTTGACGGAGGAGGAAGAAAGATTCTGGTGGCAGAAAGACCGAATGTGATACCTTGTCTTTCTGATTGGCTGGATGCAGGAGATCGGTTATAGGGTTAAAGGTCAAGGACTAGAAAAATGACCTTGAGAAGCCAGAGCTGCTCAGCCTGACAGCGGACAGGCTCTCTGACTGATGGGTGGCGGACGGGGATGAAGGCAGGGGGGAGGAAGCGGGGAAGGCAGGGTCCACTGGCACGGAGCAAGGATGGACAAAGTCCCTGGGGCCGGTGGGAACCAGGTCACCGGTGACGTTCAAAACAGTCTTCTCTCCGGACGAGAGAAACACAGATCGTAACTTTCCAAATATACCTACAACCTGCCGGAGTCCTCCCTTGAACCTGATAGGAGACAGGTAGTGCTATATCCCGGGTTCAAAACCCTCTGATGACATCCGTCTTACTTCACGTCCAGAGCAAGCGGCGACGGCCTCCTTACTCTCCAGGCACCCCTGGCTTGCCGTCTCTACCCTTGCTGTCCCCCTGCCTGGAGCCCCTGCCCCCTTCACTTCCTCCCAGGTTCTGGGCACACAGCATCCTATCAAGAGAGGGCTTGCCTCTGTTACCGTGCTTTCTTCCTCTTCATGGTGCTTACCAACACATGACATGTTTGCCTAACTGCTGCTGCCTCTCTCTCTCCGCTAGAGCATCAGCTCCTGGAAAGCAGGGATCTGACCTGCTTTGTTCACGGCTCTACCCCAGCACCTGGAATTAGGGGCCAAGAAGTACCTGAATGAATACGAGTCACTGAATGGAACTCTCCCTCTAACCTAAGAGCAAGAAAACAACACTCGGTATCTGAGAAACACCTGCTTTAAAGCTCTGGTCGGGGAGGACAGGTGGCCAAATGTTGTGGCCCCGTTCCGGAACGCAGGCCTTCAGAGCACTGATCACTCAGTTGTCAGGGTTCTCGAGGAGAATCTTAGCCCTCTCTGTGGGGACGCCCCGCACCCCGAGGTGTGCGGTCTTCCGTCCAGGTAAGCGTCCCGGCGGGCCTTTGGACTTTTTGAAGAGAAGGTCAATCCTCAGCTCAGCTCAGCGGACTCTTCATCACAGGAGTTTGTGTTTAGCCAAAAAAAGAGAAGTAGGGAACGCCCTGAATGAACTGCTGTCAAAGACTCATGGAATGCTTTGCTGGGGAAATAATATTTAAGGATGGCCTGAAGGAGATTTATTGCATCCACAGACTTCTGAAGTGTGTGCTCATCCTCAGAGAGATCGTGCAAGGGTCCCATTTTCAAACCACATTATTCTGGCCCCAGAAGGAGTTGCTGCTTCGGAGCTGGTTTCAGTTCAAGAGGTGGCAGAGCCCTGAGCACACCGTGGTAACCGGCCTCGGGCACACAGTTCCCTCGGGTCCCCAGGGGTCCGTCCTGTCCAAAGAAAGTTCTTCCAGGTAGCCATGGCCCAGGAGCAGCAGCTCCTCCCCGGCGAGCACTGCTGTGCGCCCCGAAACCCATGCCCCGGGGCAGACGTGGGTGCTGCGTTAGCCCTCAGCTCCCCCCACCCGTCCTTCGTCCCAATCTCCTCACGCGCTTCTTCATCCATGTGGCTACCATGCCTATCTTTGCAAGCTGTCTGCAATTGCAATCTTCCAGGGAGGAGAGCTGAACGCTACTAAATACGCTGAGTAGTGGCTTCGTAAGTACTCTTTCTATATTTGCAAACTTTCCTTTGCTCACCTTCCGCTGATTTTTAAGAACTGAGGTAAAATACACCTGATGGGAAGTTTATCACGTGTCCGTGTACGGTTCGGTGGCATGCAGCACGTTCACAGACACGCTGTCAATCGGCCACGGGCGCGAGGCTGGTGGCTTCTCTGGGCGCCCCCACGTCCAGGGCCCGGCTCTGTGTTCACCGATGCCCGGCCATGCTATGCTCTAGTGTATTTATGGCCGTTTTACTTGCTGGGGCCCTTATGTAACTTAATTACTTTAAACAAATGAAAAATGAGTACCAAAGGGAGCTGTTGTTTTGTGAACGTCCGGTTGACTTCCAAGTTACACATAACAAGTGAAGTTTCTCAGAGTTTTGGGACAAAGTCATAAGACTTTCCTTCAGGAAAACCTTTGGGATAGTCTCTGAGCCTCGAACAGGAAGAACATGACTTACTTGCCGCCTCCAACATCACAGGATCGAGGGCGCCCTGACAGGGACTGAATCTGGGGAGAGACACAGAAACCCGGCCTTACTGCAAAGTCAAATTCAAGTTTTTTAAAAGTATCTTTGTGTCTTGGGGCTCCAGTCGGCGCAAGCGAGGGCATCTGCACACAACAGCTACTTCAGTTCGGACTAGACTTTTCCTGGCACAAGAGAGGCATGACCTTCGTGAGTTTCCTTAATTTTTGCCTTGTTAATTTATCTTCTAGGTGAATATTATTTCCTTCAAAAAGGCCAATGTTTTATAGAGAGAGTTTCTAAATAAACATTACTTTTCCAATTGGCCTCAGAGGAAAAGAAGAAAACAGAAAAACAAAACAGGGTGAAGAAGAAGGAAATTAATGTCAGAAGGAACCACGTATTTCAACTAGAACATAAGCTTCAGCAGGGCAGGGTTTTTTATGTTGTTCATTGCACTATCCCTGCAGCTAGAGCACCTGGTGCCGGGGACTCGATAAATAGATGCTGGGGAAAATGAATGTACCACTGACTCAACTCTTCTCCCAGAAATGATTTATGGAGTGCTGCAAATCCCTAAGAAGTAGGGTGAGCACCTCCTTCCGGAGAGAGCAGTCCCTGGCACCTGGGGAAGAGTGGGTGCCACTGCCCTTCCCGCTGGAGAAGATAGGGCCGTCCTCCAATAAAAGCCTCCAAAACCACCTGTGCCTCCCACGGCCACAAGGACAGTGTGGCTGTTTCTCCTCTGTTTGGTATGTTAATTTTTTTAAGTTTATTTAAGTCATCTCTACACCCGACGTGGGGCTCGAACTCGTGACCCCGAGATCAAGAGTCTCGAGTGCTCTTCCGACTGAGCCAGCCAGACGCCCCGAAGTACGTGCATTTAAAATTTTATCTCCCTCGCCCCTCCCAAAAAAGACAAAACATCATATACATCTTGCTTTTACAAAAAAAAAAAAAAAGGCCCTTTCAAGCCCACCCTTAAGGCTAATGATGACTTTGATAGATCTGGCAGAAGAAACTGGAATCTGACCATGAGGCAGCACAAACAGTTGCAACAGAGCATCACTAACGCTGGAACAGATGACCTGTTTTCTCTCAAAGGAAACACAGCTTCCCTATGGGAAGAAAGGCCAAGTCAAGTACCATGGGGCCATGCTCCTTCCACCGTGGGTGAGGTTCACAGACAGCTGTGGTGGTGGTCAGCTGTACATGCAAATACTCAAGAGCCTCAGAGAAATCATAGAACAGATGATTGACTTACTGACTCCCTGAGGACTCAGGTCAAATACCCTTCATCAAAGAAACGGATATCTGGTAAACCAGCAATTCCGCACAGAAGCTGGTGACGGGGGAGAAGGTTTGGCTCTAAAACAGAAAAATCTGCCTATGACTGGTCACAGGCTTCAGAGCTTTTAAGAACATGAATGAGGAGTCAAGGACGGATAGGTTCTTCTGCATGAGTAAATTCACACGAAAATTATAAGTCAAGAGATCACTGTACTAAGTCACCAAAAAAATTGTGGTCAGTTTCATTTAAACCATCATTCCCTAATATATTCTTTCATCTCTGTCCCCTGACATCCTCACTTCCTTTTTCCTCAATTCTTCTTATTTCTCCCACTGCAAGATTTTACAGCGACCTCACAAGTGTAAATATTCAAATAACAAACACAGACTGCTCCCCTACCTCCTTGGTCTCCCACAGTTGTTTTGGCAGTGGCTTGGGAACGTTTAACAGATTCTCTTCTTTCAATGGGCCCGGGAAAGAGAGCACTAAACGGGGGGGAAAAAAACGCATATTCACTGCATTTAGAAGGCAGCCATCCCACCCTTGGCCAAATTATCTTTGCAAAAAAATGACTGATATGATACATATGCATTGACCGTGTACTAGAGGAGGGGCTGTGAGCATGTCTGTGGGGACCGCACAGAGGAGCAAGGCATGGATTCAGCCCAGGACTGCAAGAGGCAGCGAGAACCCAAGGGTGCAGGGCTGCTGTGGTGTAGACAGGGAAGAGTCGGTGCGGGCCTCTGCAGCTGGGCAGAGCGAAGGCCTTTGGAGGCACAGGAAAAGGGCATTCCTGAGATGGAGAGAGAAGAAAAAAAGGCCTAGAAGCGAGGAAACGGTGGGCAACTATGGAGTCGAGCCGCTCTTCTCAGTGGAGCTTGGCCTAAGTAAAGGACAGGCAGGAGATCAGGCTTAGAAGGTTGAGGCCAGATCGGCGGGCCCCGCAAGCTTGGCAAGGAGAGCGTGGAAGCCGATGGGATGGGGAGGGACCACAGTGGCCCAGGAGGGACGAAATGAGGGTAGTCAAGAGGAGAGGAACATCACAGGGGAGACAGGGCGGCCGTGAGGCTGCTCGGTGGTGGGCTGGGAGTGGGGCGTGGACAGGAACGGAGAACCCAGAGGGCTTAAGGCAGAGCCGCAGGATGGCCAGCTTTGCGCCGAGGGACCATTCCAGGGTTTTCTGCGTTATCGTTCTCAGTCTGGCCAGGAGAAACGGGGATCATGCCATCTGATCTCAGGAAGAGGGTGCATCATGAGAGACACTGGTGACTGCTTGAAACTACAGATGCTGTTAGGTCTTGGTGATGGTCACGGCTGCCCCGTCTTAGCCCCACACAGGGCAGTCCGTGTACCCACGGATAACAGACCCCGGAAAGAAGTCACTTGAAACAGAGACCAAAGTTGCAGAGCAAATTCTGAGATGCAATGCTCTTTACTCGGCGCCAGGAAGACGGCCGTCATGTCTGCCCGGATATTCTGGGGTGCCCCCACGCTCCCAGGTGTCTCTCTTAATCCCGGTATTCAAGCCACTCTCTTCTGAAGAGCTTATTTGGCCAAGTCAAATTTCAGGTTATAAAGATTCAAAGAAAGAAAACAGTGCCTGGTGCCGAATGAATAAAAGAACTGTGCCACTGGCTCTCGGTGTCATCTCGGTAGATCTCCAACATCAACTGGCTTTATGAAACTCAGTATCTCCTACCATTTCTGCAATTTGGTTTTGCAATCAATTTGCCTTTTGCTGGCCTTGTTTACTTACGTTTGTCAATCACTGACTTGCAAAACTTTCTAAGTAGGAAGAGACAGACAGCTGAGAAGGAAAGGGTCTTGGGATAACTAATGGTCTGAGCGACCGATTCATTCATATTTTCATGGGGTTACAACTTTAGCTTCCCTGCACAGCCCTGTGACCACGGGACTGTGGGGACTCGGATGACAAGCAGGCTTTGTGATCTAAGCACACGGTTCCTCTCCTGTGCCCTTGACTGTGGCTAGCCTGGATTTTATACAGCCTCCTAGAAAAGCGAACCGATCAGCTGCCATCGGCACTCGGGGAAGTCCTGAAAACAGGAGTTTCAGGAGCGTGAAGGGAGGCTAGAGACACTGCGGTCAGCGTCTCGCTCAGCGCCGGTAGGTGAAAGCAGTTCATACCTTCCCCATGTACATCGTTCTCACCATCACAGAAACCTGGTGGGAAAGAAAAAAAAAAAACAAAACACTTTTATGTGGTGCTTTCAATTTTATCTAAGAATTAGATAAATTTCTGACTTGAAATACAGTTGTGAAAATTCCAAGGCAATTTTGGTACACTGATGCTCATTCAAGGTCCATTAGTGTTTCTACTAAAATTAAAAGAGGTATGGCCTATTTGAGTCTAAAGTTGGCTCCTTTCTACTTTTCCTTTAAAATGATCTCAGTCTTAATTTTTTTTAACTGCCTCTGTCCTGAAAGAACAATATACAAAGTCTGAGAACCTCTCTTCAAATCACAAAATAAGAAAAATACAGATTGAAACTCTTGCAAGTTGTGGTGGTGGGGGAGGGCAGGTAACTCCAAAAGTCTACATGACCGTTTCACACGTACCATGCATGTCTAGAGGGACAGACTGCAAGTCCCATATTGTACGTTGTTATATATATCTTGCTTGCAAATAATCAAATTACTTTTAAAAGAAGTTTATCTGCAGTCTCTGTCAATTCAAATAGTGTATATGAGACCTATTCACAAAGTTTTAAACATTTGACTTGGAATAAATTCTGGCTGAATCAAATATATTTAATCCATAAAACATACCCCAGATTACAAAAAAGTATAGTATTTTCCATTGCTCTAAGCTAAAACCCATGAATTATGCCAAGAATGTGATGTGTGACCATCCACCTTGGAGACAATCAAACGCACTAAATGAGTTTTCAGTATAAAATCAGGCCAAAGTTTTAAGTTCTGGGCCTTTAAATATACTTAAATGCTTGCTTAAAGTTTAGATAAAGTTTCTGGAGATGCTCAGTCTATCGGTTAACCTGATGAGCCTCTACAGCTTCCACACAAGGTCTAATGATCATTCATTCAACATGCATTCGTCAAGTTCCTGCACTGAGGGAGTGCTAGGTGTGGCCAGGTGGTAGAGCGCGGGTGAAAAGTTGGAACGCGGAAGCAAATTCTCTAAAACAGGTAGAAGACAGACGATTTCGGTGGAGCCCAGCGGCAGGGGCAACACTGAAAATCCCCAGGAGCACCAACAGGTTGATAAATTAAGCATACTCATAAAGACAGAACTTCTCTCAGCCCATGGAAGCAGAACCTAAGTTAGTAATTTAAGACTTTATTTCAGTGCACGGAAAGACTTGGGTAAGCCTGTTAAAATGCAGCTTCGTGGGCCCAAGCCTCCAAGACTGATTCAGAGGGTGTGAGAATGGGCCCCGGAATCTGTTTTTAACCATCACCTCTGAGGACTGTCCGCAGACCGTCCTCGGCCTGCTTACTGAGGGACCTGGACAAGGCTAGAGCTTAATCCCGATTTGACACATCCGAAGAAAGCAAGGTGAGGGCTGCCCAGCTGGCTCAGTGGGAAGACCATACAACTTTTGACCTTGGGGTTGTGAGTTCGAGCACCACACTGGATAGAGAGATTCCTTTAAAATCTTAAGGGGCGCCTGGGTGGCGCAGTCGGTTAAGCATTCCACTCTTGATCTCAGTTCAGGTCTGGATCTCAGAGTCACGAGCTCAAGCCCCATGTTGGGCTCCACACCCAGCATGGAGCCCACTTAATAAAAATAAATAAAATAAAATTTTAAAACAAACAAAAAACAAAGAAAGCAAGGTGAGCAGAACATCAAAAAATGAGGTGCCGAGAGACAAAAGGTGAAGCTCTACAGTCAGCACTGTCAGAAGGAGGGGAGAGAAACTTCTGATTCATCTTTTGGCTTCCCTGGAGCCCTCATCTGGGGAAGGGGCTGGGAACTTGACCATTCTGACCACGAAACAGTGATTATCCCGTTACAAATAATAAACAGCAATCTGGTATGGTATGTTGCAACATCTGTTCATTATCAAGACCCCAACACCCTCGGCTCCCTCAGTCAGGCCGACCTGGCCCTGAGACACGGGGGCCCAGCTGAGGGCTACCTGACGAAACTGAGTGGCAAGCAGAAACCCCACCTGCTCTCCCGTTAGTGCCACCGCTCTCCCTCAGACGGGCGCAGGAGGAAGGCTTCATGGAGGAAGTGGTACGTGAATTAGGCCCTGAAGGAGAATGACGAGGATGGCCATAGTAAGAGCCAGCATTACGGCTCACGTCCTACGGGCCAGGCTCCACAGCACTGGGAGGCGGTCCGCGCCGTCCTCACAGCAGCCCCAAGACCGCACCATGCGTGGTCGGGCCTGTGTGCCTCCAGAATGTGCGATGGCTGGAGGGATGCGGGCACTGGGCAGCGAGGCGGAAGGGGACACCCCGGTGCAGAGATGGGAGGAGGAGGAGGGAAGGGGAGGCCCAGTGTGTCTGGCAGGCGCAGCAACGGCGTCGGGCTGGAGCATGAGACGGGAGGCACGGCAGAGGGGGCTGGACTGAAGCAGGCTGCCGGTAGCTCGGCAGGATGCAGGGAACAGGACTGACAGGGTTACTGCTGAGCTCTGGAGAGAGTGTCCCAGCGGCGGCGTGTGAGACAGACGGAAGGAGAAGGCCCCCAAGGCAGGGAGACTATGTGGGAAACCGGGAGGCTAGTCCAGGCAAGAAGGAAGGAGGCGCCAGGCATGAGGACAGCAAAGAGGCCCTCGGAGGCTCGCTGCGGGGCAGGAGGGCCGGGGGGCTTGGCTGCCGACGGTGTGAGGGCTGCGGGGATGGGGGTGATCACAGACACCCGGCTCCCGGGTTCAGCGTTCAGGTAAGCAGAACAAGGGTGGTGGCGCTAACTGGTGTGTGGGCGCCAAGCTAACGCAGAACCGGCAGAGCCACGCCTGGGTTTTTATTACTGGGTCACAAAATACTGTAGGATACAACTAGAAATAAAGCGTTAAAACTAAAAAGGGAACGCTTTGTGACTGGACATCTGGAAACAGAGGAAACTCACTCACATCCGTCCCACAGGGCTAAGGGGAGGCCGCGGCCAAGGCTGCATCTGGGTTCCGGGCACCCTGGAGGCCTCAGAGCCGCTGATCGCTGACCTCCCGAGTGCAACACAGACCATGTACCCTCTACCCGCTCCCCTGCCTGACAGATCTAGACTCCTCGCACCGGCTGGATTTGCAGAGCAGGGTCCCCTCACAACAAGCGTCTGGGGCTTCAGCCTCCCCACTTGGGCACTCTTGCCAGCTGGGTGACGCTTTTGGCCCCCCTTTAGGTCTGGGATGCCTGTGCCCTCCCCTCTCTGTCCTCTCTGTGCAATCAGGGGTCATTAACAGGCTCACTTCCTTTGGGGTTGTTTGCATTTTAGACCTTCTCCTTAACCATGCCGGGCGTCATAGCGTTTGCCTGCTGACAGGTCACGGAGGTCCAAGACCTGCCTCTTCCCCAGGGGAGGAGCTTGGGGCTACGGTTCCCAAAGCTGGTACAACTCATTATCTATCTATAGCTGTGGGTGCAGAGAAAACAATTCTCCCACACTCTTCGGTCCTGAGCTCTAGACTGTTCCCAGAAAGGACAGGGACCACCCCAGCCCCCACCTCCATGACCATGTGGGAGCGGAGGGCTGTCAGGGGACAGTTCTGGGCTATGGGCCACAGCCAGGGCCACAGGGAGCCCTCACGCTTGCCCGGCAGTGTGCGTGTGAAATGGCAAACTACACCTGTCGCCAGGGAAATCCGGTCACCGCTTCTCTTCATAGATTCTGGATAATGAAATGAGAAGAAACTAAAAACCCTGTCTGGTCGTATAAGCTTATTCCTGTCATTTACATCGACCACTTACCACTGACACCTAATTGTCATGCAACTCAATAACCATTGTGAAAATTACGAAGCATGAACAGACTAACGGCTTTATTCTCTGAGGACACAAATCCTGCTCATGGACGTACCAGTTTATTACTCATGTGGTTAAGTAAGAGCAGATGCTCTCTTACCATCAGCTTGCAAACAGACAAACAAACAAACAGAGAGTGGGAACACAGAGGCTGCATCATTCTGCTCAGGAAGGATTCCCAGGGAAAGAGCAATTACCATTACTTCTGCTAGAGCCCAAATCCTGGGCTTCAATTGTATTTTCCCATTGCTTTTTAAATCTTTACTTTATTTGGTTGGTTCTCTAATAAATACCTTTTTGCAAAGTTAGCTGGTATTTTTAAAATCCAAAAGGAAAGAAAATGAAAAACTTTTAATGAATTACAGGGGGAAAATACACGAAACTATTTAAAATAGCTCCCACCAACAAATATAATTCTCCAGAAATAATCCCCATCCTTGGAGACTTGAATAATATTTTAAACACACTGGCTTTCCCACGTAAACACATCCATATTTGGCCGTGTTTCTGAGCTCTGCTGTACTTGCACGGCAAGTGTGCACGAGCAGGCCCACGGCTTGGACGCTGGAGCTGGAGGCCCGCCCACCCCACCCCCCGCGCCCGTCAGACGCTGTGGACCCACGACCTCCAGCCGCTGACTTGACAAGGAGTGACCACCTCAATTCTCAAGTCAACCCAGGAATTCTCCTCCCGGATTTCTTTCTTGCTCTGCCAGGAGCAACACTGACATAGTTCTGCCTGTTTCCTCCTCATGCACCCCTTCCGACATCTCTCCCCTCTCCCCTCAAAGGCTACAGGGGTCCTGGCATAAATACTGCACCCAGTTAATCCCTTTCTGCGCTTTTTCTCTCTGCGTGCAGGCCTGAAAGGCTCTTTATTTAAATTACCTATGGTTGCCTTCTGCTCTCCAGGCTTCTGGCTCTTTCTGCAGAAGCATAAACTTTGCAGATAGCACAAGAGAAACGAAGCAATGGAAGAGGCAGAGAGGCAGCTCTGTATCCAGGGCTCCAGGGTCAAAACCCATCCATCTGGTTCCCTCCCCATCCAGGGAGACCAGGATGTCGCTGTACTTACTGGCACCCCCAGTGATCACAGTCTCTGCCTTTCTGGCCTTTGTTTATATGCTCCTGTGTCTGCCTCTCCTGGAGCTAAACCAGCACCTCTCCCCATAGACCCCGCTCCTCTAAGCAGTGAGCAGTAGGCTCCCTGTCCAGTTCCCACATCGTGCCAGCTTGACGCTCCCATTCCCACGGGGGGAAACATGGCTAGATGGCCCAGACCGACTCCCGTAGATCTCACACTTGAAAAGTAAGGGAATGTTTAGGCAAAGGCGGTCATCTATGAATTACACCAAGGGAACAGATACAGCAACAGTTATTACCAAATCCCACCCCTACTATGTGCAAGGAAATAAGACCTTGAACGTTCTCCGCACAGAGACTATTTCGGGTTCAAATGGTCTGAAAAATAAAGACAACGAGAAAGCCTGGATTATCTTGACCAAGATTTACTTATTCCAGGTTTAAGACCAAACACCTAGCCCTGTTTGTGGACGAGAGTCAACCTGCATATGAAACGGGTAATTCAAGACCATTGTTCCTACTAGATTATCACCCCCAGAAGGAAAGGCAGGCGTGGAGTGCGTCTTAGCGAGCCAGGTTCGGTTCCTGGCAGGTGAGATGTCAGCACCTAGCGTGTGTTCTAGCAAGGGCTCTGTGCCTGCAAGCCACTGGGTAATTTCTCCATCACTGAGGGTTCCTCTGTGCCGGGCACCGTGCTGGCGGTAAGACCATTAAGATGCTGACTTTTCAAGAAATCCCCACTGAGCAGGGGGAGAGAAGACAGTCGAGTGGCACAGGTGCCAAGATAGGCCTGAGCCCGGAGGAACTCCGGCATGTGACAAGGACACGGGTAGTTCTGGGCTGGCAAAGGGAGGAAGGTCAAGGATGGCCCCACGGAAGTGACAACAAAGCCATGGGTGTTGGTCAGGTAGGCTGGGGGAGATCAGAGAGGAAGAGACAGGGAAAGGAAGACACATCAAGAGTGGTTCACGTGGCCAACAGAGGTGACTGAGGGCCAAATCCCGGAGCTCGAGTCATTCCAAACAGAATGAGAAAGCACAGACGCTGTGAGCAGGGGCCTGTGTGTCTTACCCATGTATGGGGCAGGCCAGGCCGACTGGCCCCCTCCTCCATAGGGGTCCTGGGGCTTGGCGCTCAGAGCACTCGTGTGAAGAGCGGAATCAGAATTGGTCCTAAGGGGAGGAGGAGAGAGTCTTACTGAAAATCCATTTTTCCTTAGTAAGAATGCAATATTCTTTGCTGAAAATTACCAAAGGAGAGAAGTCAAGCACCCTTAAGATGAGGAGTCTGAACCTACCTGAAGTCCCTCACATCAGTAACAGCCTCTGAGGATCGCCCACACCCAAAAAGATTTTAATCTGTACCTGTATAGTCTCACACTTTGAAGCTAAGGGCATAATGATCTATTTCAACAATGCAGAGCTTGGATTCACAGCTTCCCCTAAGGAGCTTCCCATTCTCCCTTGCAACCCAGAAGACAGCTGGGACCAGCACGTTCTCCGCACCAGATTCTCTCCATCCGAGAGTAAGTCCTCCTGCATGAAGGGTCCCTGACAGCAGTCGTTCAGGGAGCATGCAAGGTCGAGACAACTTTGAAAATAATACTGAACGTTCTTTGCCCTTCCGCTCTCATTCTCTTACGAGCACGGCAGAGTTGCCAGCAGTGAGGCTGTGAGGTCACCGTGGACGGAACGCATAAACAGAGAAGCCAGCTATCTTCAAGAGATTTGTAAAAGGTACAACAATGCCACTCTTCTCAATAAAGTCTTCTTTGTCTCAGAAAAACATAACTGCGCTTCCTAAGAGAAGGTACCTTTTATGTTGACATGTAGTGAGTTTATTACTGCTATTTTTTAATTTTTAAATTAACAAGTATCCTTTATAAATCTCTCAATTTCATTTCCAATATCAATAGATAAATATCAGCCACAGCCATGTACGCAAACACTCTTGGAGGGCCTCAGTGGTTTTTAAGACTGTAAAGGAGTCCTCAGACAAAAAGTCTGGGAACCCCTGATATATAGCAAATTTCGGAAATTGCCCCAGATGGCTCCAATTTCTGCATAGCCTTAGCTGTGAGGGATGATTATTTACTTTTTCTCATCCAAGGGTCAAACTATCTGCCATAAAAAGAACTTGTGAGAGACTTCAAATTAGCCTAACATGCTTCTCTGTGGTCTGTTCCAGGTGACAGCCTCATGGGCACCGTGGCAGTGCTGTGTTCAGACAAGGGTCGGGGAGCGGGGGAGGGTTCGGAAGCCGTGTGAGGCAGCAGGAAGAGCACGGACCCTGGGATCAGAGACCCCCGGGTTTGGATTCCAGCTCCTTTAGAGATGCAAAGAGGCGCAAGAGAGTATCAATCAAATGCAGACAGACAACTGGGAAAATCTGTATATAGCCTGGGTATTGGCTAATATTAAGGCATCGCTGTTAATTTTGTTAAGTGTAATAATGGCATTGTGGTTGTGTTTTCTTTAAAAGAAGTGCTTAGCAACCTTTCCTGTTAGAGACGTTTACAGGTGCAATAGTCTACCTAGCGGGGCTGCGGCGGGGGTTTACGGCAGTACTCAGATGAGGACCAAAGCCGAAGTGTGGGCACGGGGCCTTCTGGCAATGCTTCTCTCTTTTGTGTATGTTTTATATTTTGCACTATAAACAGTTTAAAAAAAAAAAATCCCAGTTCCATCACATGTTAGCTACGTTGCCTTGGACAGGTCATTTAATCTCTTAAAACAGAAAATAATATTCATTCTTGAAGGATGCTGTCAGGATTGAAAACACTGACCTCCACAGAACACTCACCCCTGGAGTCCAGCCCAGGTCGATCACGACACGAGCTAACGTTGACTGAGTGCTAATGCTTCCCCCCGTTTCTTATAAATCTTAGCTGATCCTCACAACCACCCCTTGGGTGAGAGAGGTATTGTTATCTACCTTTTCCAGATGAGTAAACCGGGGCACAGAGAAGTTATGTAACTTAGTCAAAGTCACACAGTAAGAGCCAGCCCTGTAGTCCCCCCGGGACCCCCTCTAGGTATTCGGTACTATCCATGCAGACAGTCAATAAATGGCGGGAGATCTAGGCTAAAAAATACTTCCTATAAACACATGTGACATGAATATCCTCTGGCAACTGGATAATATATAAAGAACATCAGGACAATCAAACTGGTCTTCTTTAAATTTCTTTCTACTAGGAATCAACCCGGGTACCTGTTAAGAGCAGATGTCAGCCTGAATCCAGGGTGCTTTTCTTCTTTCCAAGGATGCTGTTGCCTTTAAAAACCAGAATGACAGAAAAAGTAAAGACATTCAATTCACAGGAGCAAAGGGGAGCCTCGGGCCTGAGTTTGAGAACTGGCTCTTCTACTCACCTGGGCAAAGTCACTTCAAACACTCCATGCCTCGTTCATTTTGCTCAACATCGTTAAAATGAGGTCAGACTGAGTGATCTCTCCGATTCCTATGATTCCTGATTTCCATGATTAAAAACCACCACAAATCCATGAGAACAGGATTAGCTAGCGAGGCATATATGGAGCTTCGGTTTTGTTTTGTCTCAAAAAGGGCAGACAAGCATCTTTGAAATAGTTCAAAATCTACGACCAACTCCTCTCTAGGGGATACGAGGTCTCAGTCCAGATGTGTAAAAAGTCACTGCTCAGCACACACCCCGAGAGTGTGTGCAGGGGGAGCCCTGACAATCCTGGAGGTGAAAACTGCCTTCCCAGAGACAGCCATGAGGAGGGACGCAACTGACACAGGTGTCCAGTTCACAAAAATATTTCTCTCACTACTCCCGGCGCTCTGGGCAGCTGCAGACACTTTTTCCTTGGATACAAATTTTCAAAATATCGGTCTGGAGATGTCTTTTTATGACCGAAAATACGATATCGTATTTATCCCACGACCTTGGATCCTGGGATTCTTGGGGGCAGCTGAAACCCGCCTGGAGGCAGGGGCCCACTGTGACTCATCCTCATACGGACTTCCCAGGTCCTGACGACATTACTCACCGTAAGTGCTCAGTCAGGGTTTGCCCAGAGAGCGGACGGAGAGTCAACCTCAACGCAGAGAGCACTTTGAATGTCTCTTTTTTGATACGTACACTTCAATGTCTCCTAAATCTGACTTGGTGATCTGAGAATGATACCACACAAGCAATGGATACACCAGTCTTTGCAGTTAGTTTTAGGTTCTGTCACCCTCTATACTCAAAAATACTCAATTTTGGGGGGCATATATCCTCTGTATACAAAAATACTCAGAGACCCTAAATCAAATCCACTGTGCAAATTACATTTTGAGAAGCTTATTAAATCTTTCACTCCTTCCAACGGCTAAGACACCCTGAGCAAAGACAGTTATTTTTCCATGTCTCAAATAAAAGAATACCGGGGCGCCTGGGTGGCTCAGTCGGTTAAGCGACTGCCTTCGGCTCAGGTCATGATCCCGGAGTCCCGGGATCGAGTCCCGCATCGGGCTCCCTGCTCGGCAGGGAGTCTGCTTCTCCCTCTGACCCTCTTCCCTCTCGTGCTCTCTATCTCTCATTCTCTCTCTCTCAAATAAATAAATAAAATCTTTAAAAAAAAAATATTTAAAAAAAGATAATAAAAAAAATAAAAGAATACCAAATCAGGGTATCCTACTGGTAGACGTAGCCCAAGCGTGTTTCCATTTGATTTTAAATATGAAGATCTAGATTTTTAAAATGATTTTTCATCTTAGACTTCCATATCAGCCTATGAGTCTACCTGAAAGACCTAAGTTTTCTAAGAGAAAACAAGATTCTATGATTTATATCAGAAATTTCCAAAACCATATTCAAGGTAGATAAGAGAAAGTGAAATCGACAAACAACACGTGCCCACCATAGCTTTTAAAACACAGCTTGCTTACCTTGGCCAACTCTCATCCAGGGGCTGTGAGGAGTAATTGGCTCCGAACGTACTACCATCAAAGTGAAATTTTTTAATAAAGGAAAAATAAAATTAATGGAAAGTTGAAGCAGAATGAAGAAGCCAGAACTGTGGAGAGTTAAACACCCGAGTTTCTGGTTCTTATCTCTCTATACACCAACAGCTTTTCCTCCATGCTTTCTCTGATAAACTTCCTCTGGAAAACCTATTCCTCCCACCAGTGCCCTCTTCGTGATTTATGTGGGGGTCTTTTTTTTTTTTTTGCCTGCATAGCATCTTTTTGTTTTCAAGAACTAGCTCCCGCCCTTCACCCCAAACCTGGTGAGGACGTCCTTCTGCGTGGGCCCCTCTGTCCTGGGGGATGTACCAGGCTCAGTATTTCCAGTCAAGGTACCTTATACCCCTGGGAACAGTGATTGGCTCAGGGATGGGCTCATGACACAAACAAGCCCAAGAGAGCCTCAGAGGAGGAAAGGGAGTGCCCTCAGCTGGGGTGCTGAGCCTGAGTGTCCTGTAAAGCTCTGCAAGAGAGAGCCTGTCCTTGCGGGAAGTCAACACAGACGTGGCACCTCACAGATGCTATCGTATGAACCCCTGGATCTAGCCCTTGGGCTTCCAGTGACATAAGCCAGTGAGTTTCCTTTCCTCAAGCAGAGGATTCCCATTACTTATAACCATAAGAGAGTCGTATGAGATCTGTCGTGTGCTCAGGGCTGTAGTCGCAGGGTCGGGAGACTGAGCCCCGTGTCAGGCTCCGCACTCAATGTGGAGTCTGCTTGGGTTTCCCTCTCCCGCTGCCCGCCCCCCATTCTTCCTCTCTCTCTCTAAAAATAAATATATAAATCTTTAAAAAAAATTTTTTAAATTTTAAAAAAATCTTTAATGATTCTATATAGAAGCCGCCACCTGCTTGGGCTCAGGAGGGAGGGGAGGGGCCTATCATGCAGGCCTGGGTTGGGCGCCCCAGGATCTGGCACTCGTACTAGGTGGCACTCACAGGTTCCCAATGATTTGGTGTGAACGGCCTCCTCTGTGAGGAGAAGCGTTATGATCCCAAGTTTCACTTTCTGTGTATTCATTTTGTCCCATCCAGTTAGCTTATTCCTTCATCTGAATCGAAGTCAATACAATAGAAGAGAGGATCTTCAAAAGAGAACCATTTCTTCAACATTAACTGTTAAGCTTCACGTAGACGAAGGGCAGACGAGAATATGCTACAGGAGGAGACAGAAGAGGTGAAGGTGGTCATGAAATAAGCAGCTCCCCCTCCCCCTGAGACGAAACACTCCAGCATCTTCGCCAACAGAGCCATTAGTGAGGAGGCGCTGACTCCCACCACCTGTGGTTATCTATCTTTCCCTTCCCTGCAGTTTGATGAACCTCCAGCCAGCTAACACAACTCAGCGTGCAGGGACAGAACAGGAACACCATGATCAAACACCGATCACTTCAATGTTAAGGTTCCAGTTAGCATTTTAAGCTTTCCGACGTATATTAACAACATGAAATGTAGTGATTTCCTGAAATTTATTTTTTACGGGCGTCTGGCTATGTTGCCCAGGCTGCAGCTCCTCGGCTATTGACAGGAGCCATCCCCCTGCTGACCTGCTCTGTTCCGCCCTGGGCAGGTTCACCCCTCCTTAGGTAACCGGGTGGTCCCCCACTCCTGCAGGTCACCCACCGTGTTGGTGCGGAACTTAGCCTGGACACCTGACCGGCATGGCACACTACACCCCAAACTCCCGAGCTCAAGCCGTGCCCCCCTCAGCCTCCCGAGGGGCCGGGGCCCGGACGCACCACCATGCCCGGCTGGGATTTTTAATACGACCCGGCTGAGGCATCAAATGTGAAAAGATGTGACCTCTGAGCATTCTTAATTCTCACTGTCACGTCTCATTCATTGAATATTAAAAAAGCCCAAGAACTGTTGGCATCAAGAGAACCACTAATGTTATTATCGGCTGATGGTTAAAGTCAACCAAAGGGTGGGGCGCCTGGATGGCTCCGTCGGTGAAGCGTCTGCCTTCAGCTCAGGTCACGATCCCGGGGTCCTGGGACTGAGTCCCACATCGGGCTCCCTGCTCAGCGAGGAGCCTGCTTCTCCCTCTCCATCTCCCTGCTGCGCCTCCTGCTTGTGCTCTCCTGCTCTATCAAATAAATAAATAAAATATTTAAAAAAAAAAAAGTCAACCAAAGGGAAACCTAGAAAAGGTTCATTTCTTCTGCTGATTTCAGAAAGGTTCATTCAGGTGGCTCTGACTACTCCACCACACTGATAGGTCCTACAGAACAACCTTAGGATGGGGAAAATAGCCTTATTTGTAAAACCTGAATTTACCATTAATTCAACAAACATTTTTGGAATGCCCACCAGCTGCCAGCAGCCCAAGAGAAACGCAGGGTTTTCGGAGAGCCAGACCAGCTCCTTGGCCACCCCCCCCTCACCCCCTGGTCAGTTAGCCTACGTTAAAGACGTTTCCACCTGCACCTCTGTATCTGCCCCACCCAATGCACTCCTTCCCAGCTCCTCTGCGACCTCCTCCTCTGTCTCCAATCCTGCCACTCCCGGAGGTCTGCGGCCTCGAAGCCTCTCCCCAAGGAGCTGCCGGGGCGAAGGGCCGCAGAATCGCTGGGTGCCCTGCAGCGGGGGCAGCCCCGGAGGCCGGAGACACTTGGGGCGGCGTGCTGAGGACACAGAGCCGGGACCACCCAAGCTCACCTGGGTAGCCCCACCCCGGCCTCTGGCTCGAGGCGGCCCTGCGAGCGCAGCAAGTCACAAACCCAGACCCCCAGCTGCCAACAGCGCGTGGACCCCAGGTCCGAGTCTCCTGCTGCCCCTTCAGCTTCACAACAAAAGTACTTCAGCCTCCACCTGAAAACCTCCCCCTCCTCCCCCCTGGCGCCTCTGCCCCTTTTCTAGCCCACCCGCCCGGATTTCAGTATTTCCCTGACCGAGGTGCTCCCCAAGTGCCTACAGCTCTGGAGAGGAAACTCCTCCTCGTGTTCCTGCCTCAACCCAGCGACAAAGGGGCGCCCCTAACTCCTTCTCCACATGGGCAGCCGCAGAGGGAAGCTTCTTACTCACTCTTCCCCAAAGGAAGGGGAGTAGCTCTTCTGCTGATAAGACAGGACATCTGTTGGCCCACGTACCCATGGGTGGGGTCACTGAGCCACAGAAGCGCCAGAGAGTTCCACCCTGTCTCTTTTCTGTGCTCCCTGCCTCGTGGCTGGAGAGCACAGCCAGGCTTCTTCTTTTGGCTTCCTGTTCCCCTGTGGTAAGTGCACCTGGGGCAGGGCTCGGGACCGGCCTGCTGGAGGCAGTCTGGACGCTGGCCACGTTCTCTCCTAGCCTCGAGGACTCCGGGTTCTCCCGGGCCGGCCTTCGCGGGGCAGGCCCGTGACCTCCCGTGTGGCTGGCGGGGCGAGGGAACCCCGAGTCGGCTTGACAGAACCCGCCCACCCAGACGAGCTCCAGGGTCAGATTTAAGGCCTAAAGCTGGTCACAGTTTGGTTCCTTCCTCATTTCTCAACCATGTCTTTGCCATCACGCTACTTCCTCTTGATCTTGATTGCTCCAACTACGTCCTGCTAGAACACATCTTAAAATCAAATGTTAAGGGAAGCGCAGGAGTGGGGCCCTCTGGAGTCCTTGCGTGTACGAGAACGTCCTCCCGCTGCCCTCAGCACACGAGTGACAGCCGGATGGCATGCGGAATTCTGAAGTCTGACTCGGTTCCCCTGAAAACTCTACACCCCAGCCATTTCCTCCTCCTTCACGATGGACATCCCTGATGGGTATTAGGTAAAAATTGGGTGTTGTGATCAAATAAATTCTGTTAGTCCTGGGGGAAGAGACCGTTTCTTAACTGCAGGGCTTCTCGGAGCCCCAACTTCAACTGCGAAGCTCAGGGGGGGGGGACAGAGAGTAGTGTTTCCTCAAACCTAACAGGCCATGCGTGTCAAAGAAAGTGTTCTATAAACCAGTGCCCTAAAATTTTCATCTCATTGTATGAAAAGAATCAAAGCAAAGCCTGTTCCAAAGACGAAAGCCATTCCTAACTTTGGCCGGTCTTAATGCCTCTCTTCACGACCGTCCGTGCTGGTTTCCCAGATGCAATATACTCTTGAACCTTGTTGGGAATATAAATCAGAAATTTCTCAGACATTCACTCTTTTTCTCTCTTTCTAAAAATACATTTAGAGGAAGGCATTTTCTATGATTCTTCAGCGTGTCCCCTTCTTTCTCACTGCATTATCCACAGGGATAATACTTACGTTAATTGTTCAGAAATTCAGCAAGATGGGGTTGGGGACCCTTGTCTAATGCCCTCGAGGAGTGAAGAGGGCTGCTGAAGGCATGAGTGCTCGAAAGCCTGCAGTCTGAGTTCTCAAACCCAGGCCCCAGCCAGGGAGCAGGCAGTGCCTCTCCTGTGCCCTGAGGGTGGCCCCAGGCCAGAGCCCAGAGGGACAGCGTCCTGGTCTTTGCCTGCGGCGGCCGCCCATGCCAGCAACAAAGCCCATGGCACTCGCCTTCTCGGAGGCCATGGCCGCCCACTGCAGAAGGAGTCTCCCCAGCCCAAGCTCTGCTTGCTCTAGCTGCCCGCTCTGGGCGGAAGCCAGAATATTTATGAAACAATGTTCATTTTATGTATCATAGGACTGAACCCTTGTCTAGGCTGGTCGGCCCCTTCTAAAATAACTTCCAAGCCAAGAAGCAGCTGTAAGAAGACAACTCTGGGGCGCCTGGGTGGCTCAGTCGTTGAGCGTCTGCCTTGGGCTCAGGTCATGATCCTGGGGTCCTGGGATCGAGGCCCGCATCGGGCTCCCTGCTCCACAGGAAGCCTGCTTCTCCCTCTCCCACTCCCCCTGCTTGTGTTCCCTCTCTCCCTGTGTCTCTCTCTGTCAAATAAATACATAAAATCTTTAAAAAAATAAAAAAAAAAGACAAGTCTGAATACATTTTTTCTCTTTGTCCTAACAAACTGTTCAAACCAGCGTTAACACCTGCAAAGGACAGAAGTGGGTAAGAGGCATTAGGGAGGTAAGACACACACGTGAAAGGCCACCATTTAAAGCAAATTATTTCTAAATCAAATGAATGTGGCATGAAAGGAAAGATGGAATCTCTCTCTGAGTTCTCCTGAATCTATTAGCATCTTCGACATAAAATCATCCCTCTCCTATATTTCATGGGACTCATGGTCCCTTGATTCTGCAGGAGAGATGCGCTGTCCATTTACGGACAGGCCTAAGCTTTTCTGAACGAGCAGATGTCCAGTCCCCGGGCCCCAGCCTAGATGCTTAGGAAGGGCATACGGAGAGACCTTTCAGACCTGTACTGTGTGATGAACTTTAATTTATGGGCATATTTAGTTCTCGCTTCCCCTCCCCTTTGGAGGTGACCTGCTCTTTGCTGTTGCTGTCAAAAGGTGACTCGTACATGGGGTCAAGTTACACCCTATCATACGGTGTAGTCACTCCTTCCGCGACTCTGCACAAGACATTCCCCCTGCCTGGAATGTTCCCTCCCCAGCTGTCTTCCTCTCTCTGTACCACTTACCACCATGTGCGGTCATTTGCCTTAATCATTGCTGTACTGTTTGCTGGCTGTCCCCTCCCCCAGACTGTAAACCCACGAAGGCAGGGACGTGTCTTATTCACCATTGAGTCTCCTGTGCTTAGAACAGCACAGGGCCACCCGGGTGGCCCAGGCGGGTTGAGCGTCTGCCTTCGGCTCAGGTCGTGATCCCAGGGTCCTGGGATCAAGCCCCGTGTCGGGCTCCCTGCTCAGCCGGCAGCCTGCTTCTCCCTCTACCTCTCCCCCTGCTTGTGCTCCCTCTCAAATAAATAAATAAAATCTTAAAAAAAAAAAAAAAAAAAAAGGAACAGTACTTCTACAGAGAAGAGACACTGTAGCTATCTGCTGAATACATGAATGCATTATCCCCTTACCTGTTGCTTCTTCAAGCCTCAGATTTACCTCCAGGATGCCTTCTCCGGCCCCCAACACTGGTCCAGGCTGCCCCTCCTATGAGCTCGTGCAGCCCGCGTGGTCCCGGCTACAACTCACCACACTGTGCTGTGATCGCTGAGAGCGCCGTGAGGGCAGGGAGCCTATCGTGCTCGCCGTTACACACCTGCAGTGTCTGAGCGGGGCCTGACACTGGTGGATACTTAAATTATTTTTCCGTGAACGAGTACCCTCCTCGTCCTGTCACTTTCCTTCGACCCCCTCCTGTTCGAAGTCACTCCTTCAGTTAGAAAAGCAGTGAGCACATGTATGTATTGAGACCACACTTGCTGCAAAAAGGATCTGAGATAGCTACAAATAGGTATTTATAAATATGCCACGTATATATTATCATATTTAGAGAGAACACCTACAGGAGAAAAAGAGAATGGAGAATTGGAGAAAGACATATTGTTAAATCAGGCAAAGAAACACTCAAAGCCTTTTGCTTGAAAACTCCCAGCCATCTGGACAACAGTCTGATGTACTTAGTCCATCCACACGGGTGCACTAGCGGAAGAATCGGCTGGATTCTATGGAAGTTAGGACAATTCCAGAAGGAACCCAAGGACTCAGTCGTCATCCCCACTGCCCCTGACGGTGGTCACGAAATCCACGAAGACTACAAGTCAGCGTCTCTCACGGACCGAAGTGCCGTGTCCCTGGGGTCACTATGCCCGCCTCCAAATGGAAAACAGCAAGAAACGGGGTGGGGGAGGCACGAGAGGTCCTGGTTCCCTCGGTGGGTCCTACAACTCCTCCCACGGGGCCTCTCTTGACTTGCGGGGGGGTCCTGGGCCGACCCACCGAGTGGTGCCGTGAGGGGAGAGGCCCAGGCCGGGGCTCAGCTTGCCCCGGGGCTGAATCTGTGCCCTTCCAACCTCAGCAGTGGAATCTCGGACAAGTGACTTTGACGCTCAGTTTCCTCCTTGGAAAACGGGGGTTAAAAAAAAAACGAACTACTCTGTGAGTTTTGAGGACTACATGACACATCAGTTGCCCAGCACAGTGCCTGGCATGGGTAGGTGCTCAGCAAACATGCGTGCCCTCCCCCCACTTCCTGGTTTCTCGTGAAGCCAGCTCTACCATCACTGCCAGGAATTCGGCTCTGCAGTAACACTCACCCCGCCTTCCTGTGCCCTCCTCCACCCGTGAGGAGCGTGCGGGGAGAGCGCCAGCCCTCCTGGCACACTGCCTCTCTGTCCTCTCCTACAAAACCTCCACAAAACCCAGCTCAGTTGTGTGTCCCTGAAGCCCTGAGCACGGAGCTGGTGGCCCAGCGGTGACCTCCCCCCACCGCCCAGGCCCCGGCCCCCAGTAAACGAAATTGCCAGGGGAATTCGCAATCTCCTTCTCCTTAGTCCTACTTAACAGCATAGGATTTGGCGGATGGACAGTGTAAGAATTTTCCTAACTACCAGCTTTATATCTCAGGTGTCATTTGCTGAGTTTGGAACTCAAAAAATAGAAGATCCTATGAAATTTCTCCTCTAAGTTCTAACGGCAGGTTACCAGGTCAACAGGAATAAAAATTAGTCACTTATCTGTCTCTCTGTTTGAGCTAGATAGACTAACTCTCTCTAACCTGGTTCAAAGTCAGGTTTAGCTCTGACCTGGCTGCTTTCTGCGGAAAATGCCGAGGAGGCCTTGCAACAGGGCTAAGTTACAGGTTGTTTATGTTCCGTCCCTTAACTCAACTCTATCAATGTTTTCATCAAGTAAATACCCGCGATGATCTTTCCAACTTTTAGCTGCAGAGATGTTTCTAGTTTCCAACTCATTTATTTTTATTGCCTCCATTCATCAGATAAAATGAAGGCTTTGAGGCCAAAGGGGAACCGTGGGGAAGATAAGTCCTGAAAACCTTTCAAACATTTCAAAAACTCATACCTCCCCCCCAGACAACGAGAAAGGATATTTGTCGTCCTGGCTTGTCCCCGGACCTTCGATGGAGAGGGTGGAAGCGGGTCCTGGATGGCCTCTCTACCAGCCCGTGGTGGCGGGTCCCCCGCACGCTATCAGCCTGGTGAAGGGAGGGCTGCCGAGAGAAGGGACAGGAGTCGGCCCGTGACCATGAAATTGCCACTCACCCTCAAGAACAACAACAGGGAACAACAACAGATGGAAGGGACTGATTTCAGGTTTCTACACGTGTTCACGACTGGGCCTCGAGTCAAGGCAAATCCAACCACGTAGCACGTGGCGCTGTTCCTTAGGGTTACAGAGCAATTTAAAACAGTCTTCCGTGTGTTAAGGTGAAAGCTGAAAGAATGATAATATTAAAAGCTGTCATAATTCAGAGGCGGGACCACGGGTTCATACATCACACCCCAGACACTCAGAAGTACACCTGAAATGCACAAGAAGCGTATCTAAGACAGATAGGCTGGACACCTACAGACTGTGGACTACTTGTTCTGCAGAGAGTCTTTTTAAATTTTTGATTGAATTGACAATGTTTAAAAATTCCGGTTTGAGGCTTCCAGTGAAAAACCCGAACCCCTTGGCCACGCCAGTCCCACGTTCCCACATAGCAGAAGGGACAGAAATTGAGAGCGGCTGCTTTCTCTGGGTGGGACACCCATTCTCAGGCTTTGAATGCTCACACCCGACCCCTGGATTGACTTCCTATGTTAAGACATTTGAGTTTGTAGCCCCTGAGTTAAGCAAAGAGAATACTACCTCAACACAAGTTGAAAATGTGCAACTCATTATTCCCCCAAATGGCACAAGTGAAAATATAAACAGATTCAGGGTAAATCCATGCTCAATAAATCCAAAGTCCTTTGTTAAGGAGGCTTGGGGGTACATTTGTAACATTTTTGAGACTGGCACCATAAAAGGCAACTTAGTTTTGGTTGTCCAAGACCAAACACGAGGCTGGGCCATTGTATCACACACATGATGTGTGGCGATGTGCACACACTATTCTGCAAGGGCTGTGTTTGTGAAACATACGAAAACAGATTTTCTTTTATGTAAATGGAATCATATGCAAATAGTTAGCTTACTCTGAAAGGAATCACATAATGGAATATGTTTTTATAGGGGAGCTTCTTTTAGCTAAGAATTGGTCATTAATTTTTCTTTGTTAAACATACAGATTTTCTCACCCTGGATTTGGGGGTGACTCCTATTTCTCCTCAGTGGGTTGATACAATGTCTGGGCTAATTGAGTCTAACGGTTCTAATCTATTTTTACAACCTGAATCTGTTAACTCCTCAAATAAAGAGATCTTGGTGAGCAACAACTTCTGAGGGCCTGGAAGAGAGACAGCCATCGCGATGGATTAAGCGGGCTGTTGGGTCTCGGACGATACAGCACACTCTTCCAGGGAGTGACAAGTTGAAACACCTTTGTAAATCAAGAGGATGCACAGCCACACTTTTTCAGAGCCTGTTTACACGGCAGACAGAAGGGACAGTTGGCTGTGCTCCACGATAAAAGGGAGGATTCTCTGGTAATGCAACCACCACTCACTACAGCGATGTTAAATGTACTTGGAAACACGTTTTCACTGAGGAGTCTCAGAGCACAAATACTCCAGACTGGGCTCGCAGAGGCCAGCCTACAGAGGTGGGGCTGAGAGTCTTTAGAAGGGGTTCCGAAGAAGCAGAAAGTTCTTGGAACGTCTTACAGACTTCCTACGATACCCATATGTGCTATTTACACTTGCCTCTTCTGCACTCATCCCCATGGGCCCAAATCCTGGATTGCTACTTGGACTCCGTTGCGGGGGCGGGGGGGATGGTCTCTGCTGACATTTTAATTTTCTTCTCTTCCTCACTGTGGCACTACTGCAACTCTCTACCCCTGTGGTAGCTGATCTCCCTCCAGATGATACTGAAATGAGCTCAATCTGGTGTTCAGTCAGGGAAGCCAGGGGCTGAAGTGGACTTGGAGCAAGGAAGCCCGTGAAACACTATGGTGTTAGGCTTGCTGTGAGCTGAGATTCTGTTATTTAAAAATGTATTTCTGGGGCGCCTGGGTGGCTCAGTCGGTTAAGCCTTCAACTCTTGGTTTCGGCTCAGGTCATGATATCAGGGTCGTGGGCCTGAGCCCGACATCGGGCTCTGTACTCAGTGGGGAGTCTACTTGGGACTCTCCCTCTCCCTCTCCCCCTGCTCGCGCTCACTCTTTTTCTTTCTTTCTCTAAAATAAAACACAATCTTAAAAAAAAAAATGTATTTCTTAGGTCAACTTTAATACAAAAAGAAATAGAACCCTGGCACCCTGAAGGCCAAGTACATCATGCTTTCTGTTCCTTTTCAAGTTTTACTCAGCTTTTACAAGGCTTGTACCCACAGAGCACAGCTATCTTTATGGTCTATATTCTGTACTCAACAGTATTTTGTAAACAGTTTTCTGGATACTCTGTAACCCTTATAGTTACTAATTCAGCAGGCGCTCAGTACTTCACTTCTAACCTTCTAAGGCCCACCCTCCATGTTGCAGTTCAAAGAACATGTGATTTGGAGTCAAATCATTCCAGTCCAGAATCCCTTACTAACTAGCAAGTCACTTCACCTTATCTGTAAAGTGGAAATGATGCCGCTGATAACTTCCTCACAGGCTTGTTGAGAAAACAAAATTAGATCATGCGCACGAAAGCTGCCTTATCCCAGGGATACTGGGCGCTGCCAGCTGAAGTGTCCCCCCACCCCCACCCTAATTCAGAGGTTGAAGCCCTAACCCCCAGTGTGACTGTCTGTGGACCCAAAACCTTCAGGAAGGTAATGACGGTGAAATGAGGTAATAAGGCTTTCATCTAATAGCACTGGGGTCCTTATAAGAAGAGAGGCCTCACCAGAAACCAACTCTGCTGACACCTTGATTTTGGACGTCCAGCCTCCAGAACTGTGAGAAAATAAAGGTCTGTGGTTTAGGCCATCAGGTCTGTGGTATTCTGTTAGGGCAGCCCAAGCGGACTATGACCAGTGGGCATGAGCAGAGGATGCATGTCCAGGTGGGTGGATGCTGGGAAACATCTTGTTAAAGGTGAGGCCACCCTACAGAGTCCTTTTATGGACCACAAGAGTAGCACCACTGTTAGGGGCTCAGCCAGTACTCTGAGCCTCCCAAAGTATCCCCAAGGGACCTAGACCTTCGTTAGGCACCCATCTGCTGCCCATGCCAGGTCACCTCGGAAAGCTGCCATCTGGGGACGAATGGCTGAAACGAACGTTGGCAGGGCCCTGTGACTGGCTTCGGCCAATGGCTCATGAGCAGACGTTGATATGAGTTTGTCCGAACAGAATCTCTCATACTCTTTTCCTGCTGCCATAAGAATTCCATGACCCAGACAGGGATGCTCCCTCGGCCTCTGAAGAAGGAGAAGAGACGTGGAGGAGAGCCACAACAACAGCAAAGGGGAGTTAAAAAAAAAAAAGTGTGCTCAAAGTCCCAAAGTTTGGGGAATGGTTGTTCCCACAGCAAAGCTGACTAATACGGTAGTGACAGCAGAGAGAGGCCTCATTGAGACAGAGTCCTATATTTTTTGAAGAGCACCAAGAGGGGTGCCAAGCCAAAAGAGCCTGCAAATTGGTTCCTATGTGTTTTGAGGAGGGCCTCAGGCTCGGACTCTGCCAAATGCCATCCTGTTTCGGAACACGGGACCCAGACACCAAATGAAGGCAAGAAAGCTTCTGTGCCTCCATGTACGAGAGCTCCTCCCCGTTGATGTCAGGGCGCCAGTGCCGGACCACCCACAGATAGACCAAGCACATGCTTAGGGCACCAGCAAGGCAAGGGCAACGCAGAAGGGGAAGGAGCTACTTGAGAGGGTGCCCAATAACGGTCAAAGTATCATTGTGGGAAAAACCAGAATTGAGCTGGATTTCCTTTCCTTTTTGTCTTGGGATGGCTTAATGGTTTTTATTCTGAAATACATACACGGATAGGGGGTCCAATAATCTCTGCAGGGCCTGAGTCAGCACAAGTCTTCACACGGCCCCCTGGGCACTAGAAGGCAGATGGGAGCGGCACCCCGGGGGGCAATGTTCTCAGTGGCAGCCCGAGATAATGCAGAGGTGCCCGCGTCAGCAGCCTGACGACGAGGTTTGGCACCAGGAGGCTCACCCAGGAGCCTCAGCAGCGAAGGGGTAAGCTATCAAATTCTGCTTCACGTTGTGACCTAATTGCCAGGGGCTGAGTGTGGGAAGAAAGGACAGAGTGGTCACCCGAGGCAGGGGAAAGGTGGATTCTGGGCGTCAGTCACCAAATCTGAGAGAAGGCAGACTGCGGTTGGAGCGCAGCCCGCACACCAAGGGTCCACAGACCTCAATGGTGAAGGGCAATGAGCGGGGTTCGGGGTGGGGGGCAGGGGGTCAGAGTGACTCCTGAGTTGGCTACAGCCAATTCTCACCAATTCTGTGGTTGGGTTTCGGGGGGAAGGAGGCATATCTTGAGTTCAAGGCGCTGCTGAGAACTGAATGTCCACGTGCACACAGCCCTGGTCTTGGGCTGCTGATTGTTTCTGCAAATATCTCCGTGTGGATGGCAAATTGGCTCAGGCGTGCAGGTATTGGGATGGCTGCTGGGGGGAGGGTGGCGTGAAGGGGCCAGTACTGATGGAGAACTCTTTCTGAGATGAAACAGGATGTCTAAATCTTCCAAAGAAGCGGAGTTGTGCATTTCCGGGGAGAAGTCCAGAGCCAATGGCATAGATGACAGAGCGCTCTGAGCACTCCCCCAGAGGACCGAGATCTCATTTAGGCATCTTTTGTGTGTAGGCACCCATCTGCAAATTCCTGAGTGTGGAATTTGCTTAAGATTCTCTCTCTCCCTCTGCCCCTCCTACCCCAGCTCACATGCATGTGCGCGCGCTCTCTCAAAAAAATAAAAATGAAATAAAATAAAAACAAAACATGCAGAATACCATGATGAGGCATGTAAACAGTTCCTTCGAAAAGCCTTGATCCAGAATATCCTAACCACAGCGTCTTTACAAAAGGGTGCCCAAACGGTATTCAAACAGAAACAATTCTACGTAAGGCAACTTTCAATAGCTCCACTGGCACGCATGATGACTACAGATC